ATATATTCAATTGATTTATTAGGCTTTTTAATTGTAGATGTTCCAAAGGCGCACATCAGCTTAGCAGCTTGTATGTGTGGAGGCCTGGAGATGCTAAACTTGTTTATGTTAAATAATTGTCAATTACAGTGAGACTGGCAGACTTTTGCATGACAGTAACTGGCTGACAAATTTTCATGACCGCCACAGTCCTAGTCATAGCCCCAAAATAATAGTATGTAATAGTGCAGGGTTCTTCAATTCCGGTCCTGGAGGGCCGAAACACCTCCTTCTAATCAGGGGCTAATTCAGACCTGGGACACCAGGTGAGTGCAATTAACTACCAGGTAGAAATAAAAAACAGAAGTGTTTCGGCCCTCCAGGACCGGAATTGAAGAACCCTGTAATAGTGAGTTGAGAAGACAATCAGAAATACTGACAATGTTTTGCAGTTGACTGCCATAGCCCCAAATAAAGTTAACATTGACTGTTAATTACATACTTTTTTTCACATGGTTGGATTTGTGAGAATTTTCAGATATCAAAATGGGGTTGTGTGACAAAAAAGTTTAGGAATCCCTGGGTTAGATTGACATAATTCTGAAACAATTTTATTAAACCTTTTGTTGGAGTTTTTTTAGTTTTCATCGGTTTATGGTATAGAAAAATGGACAATGAAGTGGGTAGCAACACATCCGCCACGCTGATCCTCAAAACGTGGCCCCCTCAGGGGTGCGTGCTCAGTCCCCTCCTGTACTCCCTGTTCGCTCATGACTGCATGGCCAGGCACGACTCCAACACCATCATTAAGTTTGCCGATGACACAACAGTGGTAGGCCTGATCACCGACAACGACGAGACAGCCTATAGTGAGGAGGTCAGAGACCTGGCAGTGTGGTGCCAGGAGAACAACCTCTCCCTCAACGTGATCAAGACAAAGGAGATGATTGTGGACTACAGGAAAAAGAAGAGCACCAAGCACGCCCCCATTCTCATCGACAGGGCTGTAGTGGAGCAGGTTGAGAGCTTCAAGTTCCTTGGTGTCCACATCACCAACAAACTAACATGGTCCAAGCACACCAAGACAGTCGTAAAGAGGGCACGACAAAACCTATTCCCCCTAAGGAGACTGAAAAGATTTGGCATGGGTCCTCAGATCCTCAAAAGGTTCTACAGCTGCACCATCGAGAGCATCCGGACTGGTTGCATCACCGCCTGGTATGGCAACTGCTCGGCCTCCGGCCGCAAGGCACTAAAGAGGGTAGTGCGTACGGCCCAGTACATCACTGGGGCCAAGCTTCCTCCAGGACCTCTATACCAGGCGGTGTCAGAGGAAGGCCCTAAAAAAGACTCCAGCCACCCTAGTCATAGACTGTTCTCTCTGCTACCGCACGACAAGCGGTGCCGGAGCGCCAAGTCGAGGTCCAAGAGGCTTCTAAACAGCTTCTACCCCCAAGCTGTAAGACTCCTGAACATCTAATCAAATGGCTACCCAGACTATTTGCATTGCCCCCCCCCACACAGTTTTACGCTGCTGCTACTCTCTGTTTATTATCTATGCATAGTCACGTTAATAACTCTACCTACATGTACATATTACCTCAACCAACCGGTGCCCCCCGCACATTGACTCGGTACCGGTACACACTGTATATAGCCTCGCTATTGTTATTTTTACTGCTGCTCTTTAATTATTTGTTACAATATAAAATATTACGAAATACAATTATTTTGTTGTGATTCTTTTGGGGGGGGGGGATTCTTGCTTAAAATGGCATTGTTGGTTAAGGGCTTGTAAGTAAGCATTTCACTGTTGTATGTGACACATAAAATTTGATTTTATATACTATAAATCTATCATCTAAACTTGAGTTGGTGTTTATCTTCTAGGCGAGAGATGATGCCCATCCTGTCTCTCATCTTCTCTGCTCTGTTCATCCTCTTTGGGACTGTCATCATCCAGACCTTCAGGTGAGCATGGGAGCCTCCACCTCTTAGGCTGGGACTCAAAGTTAGTTTACATACCGTAGGCCTGCTAACCTAAATATTCTTAAATATGTTTTTGTTTTTTTTATACAAAAAATAAGCTTTAAATGGTCATGGTCTAATTGACTCAACAACCAAAAACACATATCTAAGTTTAGCTTTCTTTTATGAACCAGAAAATCAATAGCTAACTCATTGATCCTGCTTTGTAGTATACCCCTCTGGTGTATGCTGCCACAAAAGGCTCCACAAGCCCTGCATATATTCTGTTATCAGGATTTGTTGAGACAGTGTTTACAATAGAAAAACGTAGAATCCCTTTTGTCTTTCCGAAATTAACTTGTGTAACACCTGATACTGTATATTTGTATGTTAGGAGAGTGAACTCAGACCCTTCAACATTGACTTTTCAGTCAGTGTAAGTAGTCCAGTGATAATTCATGTTTTCTGATAGCAGACCGACATACAGCTGTTCTCTCACCCTTTCTTCATCACTAGTGACTCGGGTGAAGAGAAGCCTCCCCAGAAACCAAAGTCAAAGAACCCACCAAAGACTGATGACGACTCAACTGGTAGAGCCAATACTTCCAGGTAACGATAAAAGTGTTTGTGTGTGTGTAAGTGAGAATGTGGGAGTGCATGCGCAAGGGTTTTTCTCTTCAGTAAAATATAACGAGTATTCACCCTCTTCTCTCCTCTCTCCCCACCCTGCCAGTCGTCCTCCTAAGAAGGACTTTGTAGAGGTGACTGAGCTGACAAACGTCACCTACATCAGTAACCTGGTCAAGCTGAGACCTGGTCACATCAACGTGGTCCTAGTCCTCACTGACGCTTCCAAGAATGCTCTGCTCAGGAAGTACGCCAAAGAGGTCTTCTCCTTCTCCGGGTAAGATGCTATACAGTGCTTATAAAGTCTCTCTTGCAAAATATATATGTTTTAATTATAAATGAGTGAGACAAACATGTATAAATAAAGGTTACATAAAATGTACTGCTTTAGAAAATACCCTCAATACCTAGTGGCAGAAATGAAATGCATTCTATGCTGTTCTATTGTATTATGCGCAAGTGATTAGTGTGTTTTTGTGCCACACCCTCTGTTTGTCTCTCTGTCTGTGATTGTGTCGGTCTGTCTCTCTATGCCCACCCTCAGGACCCAGACCCTACACTTCTCCTTCCTGAATGCAGACAAGCACAACCAGTGGATGCCCTCTCTCCTGGAGTCTTGTCCTACTGCAGCCCGGGACCTGGCCCACGGAGAAGAGGAGGAGGAGGAGGGGGGAGGAGGAGAGGGGGATGAACACTCCTCTTCCTCTCCTTCCTCAGGTCGTCCCAGAGACTTCGCAGGCCATGTTCTGGCCCTCAATGGACACAAGAAGTACTTCTGTCTCTTCAGACCGGTCTTCACTGGTGACACGGACACTGGCGGAGAGAGCTCGAGCTCATCATCTTCATCATTTGACGAAGGCTCCAGGAGAAAGTCTCGGTCCAGGTCGCGGTCCAAGTCGAGCTCACGTTCGAGGTCCAGGGAGGTGGGGGGTTCGTCGGGTAGGGGAGGCAGGGGCGGTGGGCGGTCCTCCAGGGCTACCAGTCTGGAGGTGCACCATAAGCTGGACAAGCTGGGGCTGTGGATGGAGAGGCTGATGGAGGGGAATCTGCTCAGGCACAGTGTCCCTGGCTGGCCTGGGCTGGACACCACCTCCTCTAGCTCCAGCCCCCTATGATGTGTAAATGAGGTTTCTGATAAGAGCAGCTTAAACGTAGTCATTATGCAAAGCCAATGAATAATAGAGAAGGTTAATATAACCCAATAAAGGATACTAGCCTGGTCCCAGATCTGTTTGTGCTGTCTTGCCAATGCCAACTTCAGGTGTGACAATGGCCATAGCAGTTGGCCAGACAGCACAAACCCATCCGGGACCAGGCTAGAAGCTCCATTTACCCTATCACAACAATCTTTTTTTACTTTAGCTTTAGGGACTATAGTAGGTGAAGCTTAAAATGCACTGATCTTGCCATTGGCTTTCATAGGAAGCTGTTAACCAAGAATTAGGGCTTGAGACAATTGACGTGTTGCACTGTAAAGCACTGACTACTGTATGCTTGGATATTTTGTTGTTGTAAATAGACAACAAGGACCCTATTACATTTTTTTCAAAAATAACACTGGCTCTTACGATTTAAAGAAAAGGGGGAAAAAAGTACATTATGGGGTACAATTCAGAGGAGGCTGGTGGGATGAGCTATAGGAGGACAGGCTCATTGTAACGGTTGGAATGGAATCAATGGAACGGAGTCAAACATTGTTTCCATGTGTTTGATGTGTTTGGTACCATTCTATTGATTCCATTCCAGCATTACAATGACCCTTTTTCCCCATAGCTCATCCCACAAGCCGCCTCTGGTACAATTATGGGGTAAAATTATGTAGGTTAGGATCAATGTACTGAACCAAATTGTGTGAAACAAAAAAATCGAAAGTACACATGGCTTATTTTTAACCTAGGGTCATGCTCATAGGAACACATGTTTAAAAAGCAAGTTTGAAACAGGAAAAACAAACTTGTTTTTGTAGCACAAGTTCAGGTATTACCTCCCGTTTAAATACATTTTCTCCTATTTCATGCTCACTGAACTTTACCATAGTAACCCTGAACTAAGGTCAGTTTTGCTTATTCTTTCCTAATGGTTAAGGTTAGGACTTGGGGGTGCTAAACTGTTCCTAGCTGGTTGAATAGAGCCCTTGGTGTACTCTGCTGCTGCTCATGGCCAGTTCAGGCTCCCAAGCCGGAGATCTCCTTACAACTCTTTTATAAATGTTTATTTCTCTTTGTAGATCAGGCAGAAAGGTTGAATCATCCTTCCATCTTGTTTTGTCTTTTCTTTTACTTTAATTTTGAGTCCGTGACCTTAAATACACCACTATGGATTTTAACGCATTGCCATTGTCAGAAAAATATTCTGTGTTGTCACAGGAGACTTGCAAAGCTACATTGACTTTATTCCACAATTCTTTCCTTCCTGTACCTCATGATGTGCTTGTGAACCATGCTTGCGTGATGATGAGTAACCTTGCCTGAGACCTGAAGACTTTGGTTAAGGCTTTAGCTTAGCGAGCTAAACAGTCTGGTTCTAACCCAGTCGGTCGCACTTTCATAAGATGTCCTTTACTTGTATTCTTCCTACAGAATGATTTGCTGCTCACTAAGTTATAGAGAGAAACTACGTAGATATTTCACTTTGCCTGCCTGACTGTCATTGGAATGCCTTTCTCATGTTCATGTCCGATATTGGTGCTGATGAAAGCTATAAAATATGTATCTTTTTTTTTTTTTACAAAACATACGTTTGAGATGTCACTGTTTGGGAGAATCAGTAGGACTGTAGTCCATTTTAAACGATTGGTATGTATTCATGAAATTATGTGGATATATAATTTTGATGTGCTGTTGATATTTATTTGATGTAGACTATATGCTTCCTAATGCTAATAAACCTTTTCTAAATCTATCACTCACAGGAATAGATTGTTGTGGAATAAAGATACCAGCTAAGTGTGACAAAATAGTTTACAAATGTATTGAATACAAATTGATCAATGTACTTAAATATGTTATTTACAATCTCGATATACATGAACAATGAAAATGCATAAACATACATTCATAGACCTTTGACATAGCGCTACTTTCCAGTCTGCACATGCTACCTAAAATGTAATTTTTCTGGATTAGAATTCTATATCCTTTTACCCCAATCTACTGTATATCAAAGACTTGTGTAATAGATATCAATAATTTACAACATAAGTGTATTTATCTAGCACCCCCCCCCAGTGGTTGTTATAACAGGTTAATACTCGTTGGAGATCTTGAGGACTTTCTTCATGGACAGGTCTTCTGGGCCGAAGGAGACAGGAAGCAGCTCACTAACGTTCATCTCTACGTACGTGCCATCTGGCTTGGACAGATACACGTCCCAGCTGGCCCCAAACTGGAGAGGGGAGAAAAACACGTCATATATGGAGCATCAGCAAAACTTTAGATGAAGTTTCCTGCTCTATAACTACTTTGGTAATGAGAATGTAATTACATGGACCTAAGCACTCAAAAGGCATAGTAACAGAATTAGACGTAGATAAATGACAAACAATTTGTCTTCCTCCTAGGATGCAAGGCTTGAATGACGCTTACCTCTCTCATGAACTGTCTGCAGCCACCGCATGGTGAAATGAACTGGTCATGTAAGTCACTGCAAACAAATTGATAACAACACAAGACATTTTACAACACCGTCAATGAAAATAATACTATTATCCTTGCGTTGCACTATGCTTCGTTAACACGCAGGTTGGCATTTATTGGGATGACTCATGTACTGAATGGTGGTGGTCACTAGCTGGCACAGCCACAAAGTCATAACTTATTTTAAACCAAACTGTAACCTTAACCACACTGCTAACCCAAAAGCAATTTTTGTTGATATGAATTTTTACAATATAGCTTTGCAGCTCGACCATCTAGCGGAAATCGCTCAGTTCTGCCTCCAGGGCAAGACTCGTGAGGATAAAAGTCAACCTGCCTCTTAACACATTTGTATGAGAACATTGATTACTCATGAGGATAAAAGTCAACCTGCCTCTTAACACATTTGTATGAGAACATTGATCGTTATCAAGATGTTATAACACTTCCCTGAAAATAGGGATGAGCATTAGATTTGAATTATTGAGGAGATGAGGAATGTACACATTTCAAATCAAATTGTATTAATCACATCCGCCGAATACAACTGGTGTAGACTTTACAGTGAAATGCTGGCTTATGAACCTTTCCCAACAAGTAATTTTTTAAAATAACTAACACCAGGAATAAAATAAAATACACAAGAATGGAACTATATACAGGGAGTACCAGTATCAGATCAATGTACAGAGGTACTTGAGGTAGATACACGGTAGTGCATTCAGAAAGTATTCATAGCCCTTGACTTTTTCTACATTTTGTTATGTTACAGCCTTAAACTAAAATGGATTAAACACATGTTTTCCTCATCAATCAACACAATAACCCATAATGACAAAGCAGAAACTGTTTTTTAGAAAAAAATTTGCACATTTATTTTAGAAAACAAATAAATTAAAAACACATGTCAAAATTGTTATAAATTGATTTGCATTTTAATGAGGGAAATAAGTGTTTGACCCCTCTGCAAAACATGACTTAGTATTTGGTGGCAAAACCCTTGTTGGCAATCACAGAGGTCAGACGTTTCTTGTAGTTGGCCACCAGGTTTTCACACATCTCAGGAGGGATTTTGTCCCACTCCTCTTTGCAGATCTTCTCCAAGTCATTAAGGTTTTGAGGCTGACGTTTGGCAACTCGAACCTTCAGCTCCCTCCACAGATTTTCTATGGGGTTAAGGTCTGGAGACTGGCTAGGCAACTCCAGGACCTTAATGTGCTTCTTCTTGAGCCACTCCTTTGTTGCCTTGGCCATGTGTTTTGGGTCATTGTCATGCTGCAATTTCCATCCACGACCCATTTTCAATGCCCTAGCTGAGGGAAGGAGGTTCTCACCCAAGATTTGATGGTACATGGCCCCGTCCATCGTCCCTTTGATGCGGTGAAGTTGTCCTGTCCCCTTAGCAGAAAAACACCCCCAAAGGATAATGTTTCCACCTCCATGTTTGACGGTGGGGATGGTGTTCTTGGGGTCATAGGCAGCATTCCTCCTCCTCCAAACACGGCGAGTTGAGTTGATGCCAAAGAGCTCGATTTTGGTCTCATCTGACCACAACACTTTCACGCAGTTCTCCTCTGAATCATTCAGATGTTCATTGGCAAACTTCAGACGGCCCTGTATATGTGCTTTCTTGAGCAGGGGGACCTTGCAGGCGCTGCAGGATTTCAGTCCTTCACGGCGTAGTGTGTTACCAATTGTTTTCTTGATGACTATGGTCCCAGCTGCCTTGAGATCATTGACAAGATCCTCCCGTGTAGTTCTGGGCTGATTCCTCACCGTTCTCACGATCATTGCAACTCCACGAGGTGAGATCTTGCATGGAGCCCCAGGCCGAGGGAGATTACAGTTATTTTGTGTTTCTTCCATTTGCGAATAATCACACCAACTGTTGTCACCTTCTTACCAACCTGCTTGGCGATGGTCTTGTAGCCCATTCCAGCCTTGTGTAGGTCTACAATCTTGTCCCTGACATCCTTGGAGAGCTCTTTGGTCTTGGCCATGGTGGAGAGTTTGGAATCTGATTGATTGATTGCTTCTGTGGACAGGTGTCTTTTATACAGGTAACAAGCTGAGATTATGAGCACACCCTTTAAGAGTGTTTTCCTAATCTCAGCTCGTTACCTGTATAAAAGACACCTGGGAGCCAGAAATCTTTCTGATTGAGAGGGGGTCAAATAATTATTTCCCTCATTAAAATGCAAATCAATTTATAACATTTTTGACGTGCATTTTTCTGAATTTTTTTGTTGTTCTTTCTCTCACTGTTCAAATACATCTACCATTAAAATTATAGACTGATCATTTCTTTGTCAGTGGGCAAACGTACAAAATCAGCAGGGGATCAAATACTTTTTTCCCTCACTGTACATAAGTATTCAGACCCTTTACTCAGTACTTTATTGAAGCATCTTTGGCTGCGATTACAGCTTCAAGTCTTATTGGGTATGATGCTACAAGCTTGGCACACCTGTATTTGGGGAGTTTCTCCCATTCTTCACTGCAGATCCTCTCAAGCTCTGTCAAGTTGGATGGGGAGCGTCGCTGCACCGCTATTTTCAGGTCTCTCCAGAGATGTTTGATCGGGTTCAAGTCTGGGCAAGGATCCCTCTGTACTTTTCCCCATTCATATTTCCCTCGATCCTGACTAGTCTCCCAGTCCCTGCCGCTGAAAAACTAAAGAATTCAAGCTTGGTTTCATCAGAGCAGAGAATCATGTTTCTCATGGTCTGAGAGTCCTTTAGGTGCCTTTTGGCAAACTCAAAGCGGGCTGTCATGTGCCTTTTACTGAGGAGTGGCTTCCGTCTGGCCTGATTGGTGGAGTGCTGCAGAGATGGTTGTCCTTCTGGAAGGTTCTCCCATCTCCACAGAGGAACTCTGGCGCTCGGTCAGACTGACCATCGGGATCTTGGTCACCTCCCTGACCAAGGCCCTTCTCCCTGGTGGCCAGCTCTAGGAAGAGTTGTGGTGGTTCCAAACTAATTCCATTTAAGAAGGATGGAGGCCACTGTGTTCTTGGGGACCTTTCAATGCTGCATAAATATTTTATTACCCTTCCCCAGATCTGTGCCTCCACACAATCCTGTCTCGGAGCTCTACGGACAATTCCTTCGACCTCATGGCATGGTTTTTGCTCTGACATGCACTGTCAACTGTGGGACCTTATATAGACAGGTGTGTGCCTTTCCAAATCATGTCCAATCAATTGAATTTACCACAGGTGGACTCAAATCAAGTTGTAGAAACAGCTCAAGGATGATCAATGGAAACAGGATGCACCGGAGCTCAATTTCGAGTCTCATAGCAAAGGGTCTGAATACTTATGTTTATAATGGATTTCTGTTTTTGTGGACCATGTTAAGTCCTTAGTGATGTCGACGTCAAGGAACTTAAAGCTCTTGACCAGCTCCACAACAGCCCCGCCGATGAGTGCATGCTCTCCACTCTTTCTAATATAGTCCACAATCAGCTTCTTGGTCTTACTGACGTTCAGGGAGAGGTTGTTGTCCTGGCACCACACTGCTAAGTGTCTGACCTCTCTCTGTATGCTGATTCACCGTCGTCGGTGATCAGGCCTACCATCATCGTGACGTCAGCAAACTTGATGGTGTGTACCTGGCGCCGTTTTTTTTATGTGTTATTTTTTACATTATTAGCACAGAAAGTGTTTTGCATCATTACGTACAGCCGGGAAAAACTATTGGATATCAGAGCGGCGGTAACTTACCAGCATTACGACCAGGAATACGACTTTCCCGAAGCAGACCCTTTGTTTGCTCTCCCCAGGGCAACTGAACTGATTCCAGCGGCTGACCCAAAACATCGCTGGCGGAGGAGAGTCACTCGGAGCAGCCTGCTGGTCCGACTTAGGAGGCACGCACACCACCCACCGCTTCCAAGTATTCTACTCGCTAATCTTCAATCTTTGGTTAACAAAGTCGACGAACTACGGGCAAGGATTTCTTTCCAGAGAGACATCAAGGCCTTTAACATACTCAGTTTCACGGAAACATGGCTCTCTTGGGATATTCTGTCGAAATCGGTCCAGCCAGATGGGTTCTCAGTTCATCGCACAGACAGGAATAAATATCTCTCCGGGAAGCAGAAGGGCGGAGGTGTGTGTTTCATGATTAACGACTCATGGTGTAATTGTAGTAACACAGAGGAACTCGAGTCGATCTGTTCACCCGACCTAGAATTTATCACAATCTAATGCCAACCGTATTATCTCCCAAGAGAATTCTCTTCGGTTATAGTCACGGCCGTGTATATCCCCCCTCAAGCCGATACCACGACGGCCCTCAAAGAACTTCACTGGACCTTATGCAAACTGGAAACCACATATCCTGAGGCTGCATTTATTGTAGCCGGGGATTTTAACAAAGCAAATTTGAGGACTAGGCTGCCGAAGTTCTATCAACATATTGACTGTTGTACTCACGCTGCTAAAATCCTCAACCATTGCTATTCAAACTTCCGGGATGGTTATAAGGCCCTCCCCCGCCCTCCTTTCGGCATATCTGACCACGACTCCATTTTGCTTCTCCCTTCCTATAGGCAGAAACTCAAACAGGAAGTACCCGTGCTAAGGACTATTCAACGCTGGTCTGACCAATCGGAATCCACGCTTCAAGATTGTTTTGATCACGTGGACTGGGATATGTTCCGAGTAGCTTCCAAAAATAATTTAGACATATACACTGAAATGGTGACAGAGTTTATCAGGAAGTGTATAGGTGATGTTTTGCCCACTGTGACTATTAAAACCTACCCTAACTAGAAACCGTGGATAGACGGCAGCATTCGCGCAAATCTGAACGCGCAAACCACCGCATTCAACCATGGCAAGGTGACTGGGAATATGGCAGAATACAAACAGTGTAGCTACTCACTCCGCAAGGCAATTAAACTGGCAAAACATCAGTATAGAGACAAAGTGGAGTCGCAATTCAATGGCTCAGACACGAGACGTATGTGGCAGGGTCTACAGACAATCACAGACTACAAAAATGAAAACCAGCCACGTCGCCGACACCGATGTCTCGCTTCCAGACAAGCTAAACACCTTTGCCCGCTTTGAGGATAACACAGTGCCACTGACGAGGCCCACTACCAAGGACTGTGACCTCTCCTTCTCCATGGCTGACGTGATTAAGACATTTAAGCATGTTAACCCCCACAAGGCTGCCGGCCCAGACGGCATCCCTAGCCGTGTCCTCAGAGCATGCGCAGACCAGCTGGCTGGTGTGTTCATGGACATATTCAATCTCTCCCTTTCCCAGTCTGCTGTTCCCACATGCTTCAAGATGGCCACCATTGTTCCTGTACCCAAGAAAGCAAAGGTAACTGAACTAAATGACTATCGCCCTGTAGCACTCACCTCTGTCATCATGAAGTGCTTTGAGAGACTAGTCAAGGATCATATCACCCTAGACCCACTTCAATTTGCCTTCCGCCCCAATAGATCTACAGACGATGCAATCGCCATCACACTGCACACTGCCCTATCCCATCTGGACAAGAGGAATACCTATGTAAGAATGCTGTTCATTGACTATAGCTCAGCATTCAACACCATAGTACCCTCCAAGCTCATCATTAAGCTTGAGGCCCTGGGTCTGAACCCTGACCTGTGCAACTGGGTCCTGGACTTCCTGACGGGCCGCCCCCAGGTGGTGAAGGTAGAAAACAACATCTCCACTTCGCTGATCCTCAACACTGGGGCCCCACAAGGGTGCGTGTTCAGACCCCTCCTGTACTCCCTGTTCACCCATGACTGCGTGGGCAAGCACGCCTCCAACTCAATCATCAAGTTTGCAGACGACACAACAGTAGTAGGCTTGATTACCAACAATGACGAGACCGCCTACAGGGAGGAGGTGAGGGCTCTGGGAGTGTGTTGCCAGGAAAATAACCTCTCACTCAACATCAACAAAACAAAGGAGATGATCGTGGACTTCAGGAAACAGCAGAGGGTGCACCCCCCTATCTACATCAACGGGACCGTAGTGGAGAAGGTGGAAAGCTTCAAGTTCCTTGGCGTACACATCACAGACAAACTGAAATGACCACCCACGCAGACAGTGTGGTGAAGAAGGCTCAACAGAGCCTCTTCAACCTCAGGAGGCTGAAGAAATGTGGCTTATTACCTAAAACCCTCACAAACTTTTACAGATGCACAATTGAGAGCATCCTGTCGGACTGTATCACCGCCTGGTACGCAAACTGCGCCGCCCACAACGCAGGGCTCTCCAGAGGGTGCTGCTGTCTGCCGAACGCATTACCGGGGGCAAACTACCCGCCCTCCAAGACACATACAGCACCCGATGTCACAGGAAGGCCAAAAAGATCATCAAGGACATCAACCACCCGAGCCACAGCCTGTTGACCCCGCTATCATACAGAAGGCGAGGTCAGTACAGGTGCATCAAAGCTGGGACCGAGAGACTGAAAAACAGCTTCTATCTCAAGGCCATCAGACTGTTAAACAGCCATCACTAGCACATTAGAGGCTGCTGCTGCCTATTGAAATCACTGGCCACTTTAAGAAATGGAACACTAGTCACTTTAATAATGTTTACATATCTTGCACTACTCATCTCATATATATATATATATATATATATATATATATATATATATATATATATATATATATATATATATATATATATATATACTGCATTCTATTCTATAATATTGTTCTGTATCTTAGTCCATGCCGCTCTGTCATTGCTTGTCCATATGTATATATTCTTAAATCCCATTCCTTACTTTTTGTGTGTATTGGGTATATGTTGTGTAATTGTTAGATATTACTGCACTGTCGGAGCTAGAAGCACAAGCATTTCGCTACACCCGCTATAACATCTGCTGAACAGGTGTATGTGACAAATACAATTTGATTTGATTTTGATTTGATTTGGTGTTGGAGTCGTGCACGGCCACGCAGTAGTGGGTGAACAGGAAGTACAGAAGGTGACTAAGCACCCACCCCTGAGGGGCCCCATGTTGAGGGTTAGAGTGGTGGAGGTGTTGTTGCCTACCCTCAACACCTGGGGCCGACCCATCAGGAAGTCCAGAATCCAGTTGCAGAGGGAGGGGTTCAGTCCCAGGATCCCTAGCTTGGTGCTGAGCTTGGAGGGGACTATGGTGTTGAACGCTGAGCTGTAGTCTATGAACAGCATTCTCAGATAGTTACTTCCACTCTTGTCCAGGTTGGAGAGGACAGTGTGAATTGCAATTGAGATTGCATCGTCTGTGGATCTGTTGGGGCAGTATGCAAATTGGGGTGGGTTTAGGGTGCCTGGGATGATGGTGTTGATGTGGGTCATGACCAGCCTTTCAAAGCACTTCATAATTACAGATGTGAGTGTTACAGGGTGATGGTCATTTAGGCAGGTTACCTTGGGGCTCTTGGGACCATGGTGGTCAGATTGAAACATGTTGGGATTACGGACTGGGACAAGGAGAGATTGAAAATGTCTGTGAAGACATCTGCCAGCTGGTCTGCACATGCTTTGAGATTGCGCCCTGGTATTCTGTATGGCCTGGCGGCATTGTGATTGTTAACCTGTTTAAACGTTTTGCTCACATCAGCAATGGAGAGCGAGATCACACAGTCATCCGGAAAAGCAGGGCCTTTCACGCAAGGCACAGTGTTATATTCCGAGCGTCGTAGCCGGTGTAAGGATTCCACCTTCCTCCTCTATTGTCCTTTTGCATGTTTGATGTCTCGTCAGAGGTCGTAGCGTTGTATGCGTCCATATCCGTGTCCCATTCATTGTAAGCGGTAGCTCTAGAAGATGTTGCCTGTAATCCATGCTTTTTGTTTGGGATACGTTCTTATAGTCACTGTGGGGACGACATCGTCTATGCACTTATTGATGAAGCCTGTGACTATTGTGGTAAACTCCTCAATGTTATCAGATGAATCCCAGAACATATCCCAGTCTGTTCTGGCAAAACAGTCTTGTAGCTGGTTCGAATCCAGGCTCTGTCGATGGTTGGTAGAGCATGGTGTTTGCAACGCCAAAATTGTGGGTTCGTGTCAGTATGAAAAAAAATAATTAAAAATTAAAAAATAATGTATGCACTCAGTAACTGTAAGTCGCTCTGGATAAGAGCGTCTGCTAAATTACTAAAATGTAAATGTGAGCAAAAGCTCGAGACCAGTTGTTATTTATGAAAAAACGCATACCACCTCCCTACCTTTCGTTTTCTGGTAAGTCTATGTCATGGAAAGAGCAGGTGTTGTTAATGTTTTGTACACTCAGTGTAGAACTGTACCTGGCAATAGCAATGGCCTTGAAGCTACGGTATCCCTCTGACACTGCTTTAGCGATGGCGTTCCTCTCTGCACACACACCCAGGTTGTAACACGCGTTCTCCACATTGCAACCTGAAGAGATAACCGACCACATTTACTGTCATGTACAGAGCTTTTCACTTGTTTTCAAAGGGTTTAAAACGATGGCAAAGCAGACAGAGCTGAAGATATGTCTCCCCTGGTTCCTCTAAAGATCTTATATGATTGATCAATTGATGGATTTGTTCATTGCAAATACCGTGACTTTAGGCCAAGGAGATTACTTGGTTAGATAGTTTCCCCTCAGTTAATCATTAACAGGTTATGCAAAACCAGTCAGTCGAGAACACAATGTACAAAGTTTGAAACATTGAAATCCTTAGAAATTAGTGTCTGTTCATGTATTGTTAAATAGTCTAGTTATGCTTGTGCACAAAAAGGCTTCTTGCCCACTTGAGCTAAATTCCTAACTGACTAAATTCTAACTGACTATCTGATTAATTTATGACTGACTAAATTCATTTCTGATTGACTAAATTCCAATGCTGAGGGAACAAGTGTGAATAATCTACGGAACTGTAGAACACAGACAGACAGAGTTACATCATTCTGAACATCACAGGCCTGCTTCATATGTGGTTATTCCTTTTGGTGGTTAGTCATGACTCATGAAACAGATTCAGGAACATTGTAACATTGGATTTTACACACTTACATATTCCTGCTCATGATTAGAAGCAATCTTTATCACAAATGTTACAGTATAAACGTTACAGGGTAATGTTTTCTTTTTCAGATTATGGGATATGCCTATTTTCTGTTTATCTATCTATTCTAAAGTTTTTGATTTAAAATGTAGACGTTCTGTACATTTTTACAGTACTGTAACAACACATGCATCTAAAGCCGGATCCCTCTCCACTAAGTCTTCCCAGTTCAATATTGTAGTTAAACGACAATGTGTTCCCAGTCAACTTACCTGGTCAAATAAATATAACTAAACATATACTGATTGTCAGCTGTAGGTATTTTTTAAGATTGTCAAATAAACTCAATCAATTAATCAATAGATTGAAGTGATAGATGATATCTCACCTGTGAACACTCTGTCGTCGTGGGCCAGGAGGGCAGCCCCGACCCTGAACTTGCTGTAGGGACAGTAGGAAAACTCCTTGGCCTCCAGGGACCGATGGATGAGCCCTTCTACCGTTATCCTGGCTGGGTGGTGGAGGAGCCGTGACCCCTGGTCCTTACCATGGAGCATCTGGATCTGCAGGTCTCCCATACTGCCTCTGAGTCTCTGTCTGTGGTGTGAGTCTGTGGTTGTAGGTGCGTGTGTCTGTTCTTGTTGAGTTTTTCTGACTTTCTGTGGAAGTATGAGTATGTCTTGTACTGTAATAGATCGGGGGAGGGTATTTATTTCTTTATAGCCAATCCCTGTTGCTTGTATATCCTCCCCCTCTCTGATGGGTCTGGATGGGTTGGGTGGGTGTGTGTATGTGGGGGGTGGGGTGGAGGGTGAGTCAGCTGCATGCAGAGGTGAGTGAACTCTGTTACATAACCAGTAAGATATTGCATATTGTTGCCTTAGCTGACTGTAAATGTTTTCTTTGTGGCTGTGTATAAAGTTCACATAATGAGGTTTATGTGCTGGTGAAATATATTTATTTTTGTAGATGAGTAGCTACGGATTAGTAAAGAGACAGCTTGGTAAAAATAAGTATCTTTATTGTTTTACTATTCCGTAGTAGGGACATGGGAAAGCACAGGGAGAAACAAAAAGAACCTTAGAAACGTGTGTTTCTTAGAAAGATGCTGAGGATGCATCAATGTCTGTTATTTATCAACAGATAAAATGGATAAGAAGTATAATGTGTTTGCTAAGACATACGAAGTATCATATGAATCAAAATATGATATAGAGGGAAATATGTCAACTAACAGTGCAGACACAGAAGCTTGAGTGTGTCTTAAACTCTATTTCTGTTTGGTGACCAGACAAAATAAGCCAACCCTTGTGTATTTTCCTGATGTTTCTCAATGGCTGTAAAGTGTACACATGTTTTTCTTATTCAACAAATGATTACATGGCCTGTAGGTCGATCACATCTATACATCAGTCTGTCTGCTGATAACACTATCACTTATATGCTTTCTATCAGCAACAAGACAATATCACTTACTATTGACATATACTGTACAGCATTCAGTAGCAATAAGAGAGAAAATAGACGAGTGTATCTTTTCGTGTTTTCTATTTTGTAAAAAAAAAAAAAAACAGTAGTCATTGTTCACAGTGGGTAGATCAGTATCTACAGTTGAAGTCGGAAGTTTACATACACTTAGGTTGGAGTCATTAAAACTTGTTTCTCAACCACTCCACAAACTTGTTAACAAACTATAGTTTTGGCAAGTCTGTTAGGACATCTACTTTGTGCATGACACAAGTACTTTTTCCAACAATTGTTTACAGACAGATTATTTCACTTATAATTCACTGTATCACAATTCCAGTGGTTCAGAAGTTTACATACACTAAGTTGACTGTGCCTTTAAACAGATTGGAAAATTCCAGAAAATTATGTCATGGCTTTAGAAGCTTCTGATAGGCTAATTGACATCATTTGAGTCAATTGGAGGTGTACCTGTGGATGTATTTCAAGGCCTACCTTCAAACTCAGTGCCTCTTTGCTTGACATCATGGGAAATCAAAATAAATCAGCCAAGACCTCAGAAAAAAAGTCTGGTTCATCCTTTGGAGCAATTTCCAAACGCCTGAAGGTACCACGTTCATCTGTACAAACAATAGTACGCAAATATAAACACCATGGGACCACGCAGCCGTCATACCGCTCAGGAAGGAGACGCGTTCTGTCTTCTAGAGATGAACGTACTTTGGTGCGAAAAGTGCAAATCAGTCCCAGAACAACAGCAAAGGACCTTGTGAAGATGCTGGAGGAAACCGGTACAAATGTATCTATATCCACAGTAAAACAAGTCCTATATCGACATAACCTGAAAGGCCGCTTAGCAAGGAAGAAGCCACTGCTCCAAAACCACCATAAAAAAGCCAGACTACGGTTTGCAACAGCACATGGGGACAAAGATCGTACTTTTTGGAGAAATGTCCTCTGGTCTGATGAAACAAAAATATAACTGTTTGGCCATAATGACTATCGTTATATTTGGAGGAAAAGGGGGTTGCTTGCAAGCCGAAGAACACCATCCCAACCGTGAAGCACGGGGTGGCAGCATCATGCTGTGGGGGTGCTTTGCTGCAGGAGGGACTGGTGCCCTTCACAAAATAGATGGCATCATGAGGAAGGAAAATTATGTGGATATATTGAAGCAACATCTCAAGACATCAGTCAGGAAGTTAAAGCTTGGTCGCAAATGGGTCTTCCAAATGGACAATGACCCCAAGCATGCTTCTAAAGTTGTGGCAAAATGGCTTAAGGACAACAAAGTCAAGGTATTGGAGTGGCCATCACAAAGCCCTGACCTCAATCCTATAAAAAATGTGTGGGCAGAACTGAAAAATGCGTGTGCGAGCAAGGAGGCCTACAAACCTGATTCAGTTACACCAGCTCTGTCAGGAGAAATGGGCCAAAATTCACCCAACTTATTGTGGGAAGCTTGTGGAAGGCTACCCGAAACGTTTGACCCAAGTTAAACAATTTAAAGGCAATGCTACCAAATACTAATTGAGTGTATGTAAACTTCTGACCCACTGGGAAAGTGATGAAATAAATAAAAGCTGCAAAAAATCATTCTCTCTACTATTATTCTGACATTTCACATTCTTAAAATAAAGTGGTGATCCTAACTGACCTAAGACAGGGACTTTTTACTAGGATTAAATGTCAGGAATTGTGAAAAACAGAGTTTAAATGTATTTGGCTAAGGTGTATGTAAACTTCCGACTTATGTCCTATATTGATACACTATCAGTTTCTGTCCATGGTATCCCATCCTTACAAAGGAGAAGACCAAAAATAAGATGGCGTCGCTAGCTGTCGTTCTGCGTGATCCACTTGATCCAGCTGATGTACTTACTGACCTTGGTGTAAACACCAGGGAAATAGGGGTTGGCACAGCTGATGCCCCAGGACACGATGCCCTCAAAGTGCCCGTTACAGATCAGAGGGCCGCCTGAGTCACCCTGTTAGAATAGAATTGAATACTTTAATATCCCATCAAGAAATGTGCTTGCCATACAGATTTACTTGGCATACGCATATCACAACAAATGTCCAGACCTGGGTTCAAATACGTGTAGTTTTTATATAAATATGAATGGTCACACTTTTTATTTGGATAGTCTGGATTTTCCTCTGTAGATGCTCTACAGATGGTCATACTATCAACAAACTATCTGTTGATAAGCAACTAATTGCTAAGGTTAGGGTTAGAATAAGGGTTAGTAGATAGTGGCGGTCGGTGCTGTTTAAGACGAGGGAGAAACATGAACATGGCCTTATTTCTATAACAGCATATTGGATGACTGTCATTCATATTCCATTCACCCAGTTCAGTGTAACATAGATAGGTTCAGGCTACTACATGATACTCATATTTTCCCTGTACCCATCATGAGGTTGCTACAACCTAGCCTATGAATGAAAGTTTACAACATAAGTGCACAGGTCGAGAGAATTATGAGGAATCAAGGTGACAGACAGTGACCCATTCAATACCACTTTGCACACTCTTGCCTGCGTCTAGCTGGTCTAGGGTGTAATCATTAGTCACCTCATAGTCAACATAGCTACTAGAACTAACGCGGTAATAAACCCGCTAGCTACAATCATGCAGTACAGTCAGAAAGCAGTTTTGCAGTTACACCGGCAGCAAAAGCTTACCTTGACTTTGAAGAGTTCCAGTGTTGGATAGCCATAGCCAGCTAGCTAACATATTATCCCTTTCTGTTTAAGCTCTTTGAGTAGGCTAAACTAGCTAGCTACATTGATGCTAGCTAAGTGAAAGTGTAAAAAAATATATACTATGAAATATAGCTAGCTCTCTCTCTTGCACATTTTATGCACTGCAGTGCTAGCTAGCTGTAACTTATGCTTTCAGTACTAAATTCATTCTCTGATCCTTTGATTGGGTGGACAACATGTCAGTTCATGCTGCAAGAGATCTGATAGGTTGGAGGACGTCCTCCGGAAGTTGTCATAATTACTGTGTAAGTCTATGGAAGGGGGTGAGAACCATGAGCCTCCTAGGTTTTGTATTAAAGTCAATGTACCCAGAGGAGGACGGAAGCTAGCTGTCCTCCGGCTACACCATGTTGCTACCCTACAGAGTGCTGCTGAGGCTACTGTAGACCTTCATTGCAAAACAGTGTGTTTTAATAAATGATTTAGTGACGTGAATATATTTAGTATAGTTTTATCTAAAAATGATAACTTTTTAAATGTTTTTTTTTTTAATACTAATTTCAAATACCTGTGTTAATTGCATGGGAGTTTATTTAAGTCAGTGTATTTGAGTATTTTCAAATACTTTCCAAATGTATTTTCAAATACATTCCAATATTCAACTACTTAATAATTGAAATACCTTAAATAGTATTTGAACCCAGGTCTGCATACGTCACAAGACATACAGTACAGTCTGACATTCAGACACAGGCTACACATTCCAATCTCCATACTAGCGTTCTACTTAGAATGTATACCCGATACATTACTTAATTCGAAGTAGTATGGTAGTGTGGATTATGGACACTGAAATAGAGCCTCAGATCTTTTCTCCTCTCTCACCTGACAGGAGTCCTTCCCTCCGACGCGAGAGCCGGCACAGAGCATGTTGTCTGTAATCCTGAAGTAGTAGTAGTACTGGCAGTTGGTGATGACGTCAACATCCACAGCTTGGAGCACGGGAGACAGGTAGTAGCTGAAGATATTGGTGACCCCCCAGCCGCTTACCGTACAGGTCATTCCCTGCTGCAACGGGGGCATGTCCACTCTGGGCAGGATGGCGGGCTGGATTTTGGCGTTGAGAGTTGCGGGCCTCTCCAGCTGATGGAGGGATAGAGGGGGTAGAGAGAGAGAGAGGGAGAGAGAAAGAGAGAGGGGGAGGGAGGGAGGGAGGGGGGGGGGGGGGGGGGGGAGAGGAAGGGAGAGGGCATGAATGGATAAATTAATGAACAAATGAATCAATCAATTAATGAGACCAATAGATAATATACAGAGAGGGAGTACAGGAAAACCAAAGCTACTGTCCATTGTGTCAGCTTACTTTGAGCAGCATGATGTCGTTGTCAAAGGTCCTGTAGTTATACATGTAGTAGACCAGCACATTGGAGACGTTGAACTCCTGCTCAAAGCCCTCCACTCTGGAGAAGCTGTGCTCACTCAGTACCACTTTGATCAGGTATGCCCTGTGGATCGAGAGGAGAGGAGAGGGGTGGAGAGTAGAGGAGGTTAGCACTCCAATCTAGCAACCCAGTATGGCAACTAGCATGAGTCATTCCACTTCATTCTAAAGACACACTCTGTAAGATGTCCTGCTGTTCAATGGTTATTTCAATAAATAGTATACCTATTGATTCTTGAAGAATATACATTATAAATGCCCTACTCTATCCCATCATAACCCCAAATATAGTGGGTGTAGTACAAGAGGTAGTCTCACTTGCCAGACTCTAACCCCGTAGGCTCAATTGCTACTGCGTAGGTTCGAGAGAGAGCCAGCTGGTGGACGAGATTAGCCAGACTCAGTGGCTGTGGGAAGAGACTGTAGGTGAAATAGAAGTTGCATAACTCACGGTCTCCAGCAGTGGGCAGCAGACACCACCCACTGAGGGTGTATGAGGGTCCCTCCACAGTAGTGGTATTTGTTGTACTGGATGGAGGCTTGGTACTTTATAGAGTAGGGTGTTACCTCCTGACCCCCTATGATCCTCTGGCCCAGTACTCCTAAAAAGAGAGGGGGAGGGAGGAATGGTGAGGGAGGGATGGTGAGGGAGGGAGGGATGGTAAGGGGGCAAGACTAACCGGTGCCCCCGCACATTGACTCGGTACCGGTACCCCCTGTATATAGCTTCACTACTGTTATTTTACTGCTGCTCTTTAATTATTTGTTATTTTAATTTTATGCTTCTTTATTTTTTATTTAACACTTATTTTTTCTTAAAACGGCATTGCTGGTTAAAGGTTTGTATGTAAGTATTTCACTGTAACGTCTACACCTGTTGTATTCGGCGCATGTGACAAATAAAATTGTCACATGACAACAAAGCCCTTAAATTGAATTGAGTGGTGGGGTGGGAGGGGAGGGGGGAGAGAGGTAGTGAGGTAGGGGTAGGCGGGAGGGAAGGAGAGGTGGGGGGAGTGACAGAGGAGAGGAGAGGGGGAGGAGAGGATAGGGGGCGAGGAGGGAAGGGTAGAGAGGGAGCGAGAGTGGGAGATGAAGGAGGGTGGGAGGGGAGAAAGAGGAGGTACTTAAAGGTAAGATTGAAATCTGCCAAATAATTTCTATGCCCAGTATCATACATTGTTTCTTTACCTCTGATTGTGAGGATGACCAGTAGGATCAGTGATAGATGACATGATTCTGCCATGGTTGTCTGGTCTGGTCTATTTGGAGTGGATTGGTCGGTTCTAACGCAGACAGAAAAGCACACTGGGAAATATTTTACTCCATATTTTTACTGCCATTTAGACATTCAGGAACATGCCACATTAAAGACTATAGCTTCATAAATGTACCACTAATGTAGACCTAACATACAGTGCTATGAAAAAGTATTTGCCCCCTTTCTAATTTTCTCTACTTTTGCTTATTTGTGATACTGAATGTTATCAGATCTTCAACCAGAACCTAATATCAGATAAAGGGAACATAAGTGAACAAATAACACAACAATTACATATTTATTTCATAAACAAAGTTATGCAACACCCAATTCCCCTGTGTGAAAAAGTAATTGCCCCCTTACACTCAATAACTGGTTGTGCCACCTTTAGCTGCAATGACTCCAACCAAATGCTTCCTGTAGTTGTTGATCAGTCTCTCACGTCGCTGTGGAGGAATTTTGGCCCACTCTTCCATGCAGAACTGCTTTAACTCAGTGACGTGTGGGTTTTCAAGCATGAACTGCTCGTTTCAAGTCCTGCCACAACATCTCAATTGGGATTAGGTCTGGACTTTGACTAGGCCATTCCAAAACTTCCAATTTGTTGCTTTTTAGCAATTTTCATGTAGACTTGATTGTGTGTTTTGGATCATTGTCTTGCTGCATGACCCAGCTGCGCTTCAGCTTAATCTCACAGACGGATGGTCTGACATTCTCCTGTAGAATTCTCTGATACAGAGTAGAATTCATGGTTCCTTCTATTAAGGCAAGTCGTCCAGGTCCTGAGGCAGCAAAGCATCCCCAAACCATCACACCACCACCACCATGATTGACCTTTGGTATGATGTTCCTACTGTGGAATGCAGTGTTTGGTTTTCGCCAGGCATAATGGGACCCATCTCGTCCAAAAAGTTGACTCAAGTTTGCCAAAAAGCACCTGGATGATCATCAAGACTCTTGGAAGAACGTTCTATGGACAGATGATTCAAAAGTATAACTTTTTGGACGACATGGTTCCAGTAATGCCTGGCGAAAACCAAACTCTGCATTCCACAGTAAGAACATCATACCAACGGTCAAGCATGGTGGTGGTGGTGTGATGGTTTGGGGATGCTTTGCTGCCTCAGGACATGGACGACTTGCCTTAATAGAAGGAACCATGAATTCTGCTCTGTATCAGAGAATTCTACAGGAGAATGTCAGACCACATCCGTCTGTGAGATTAAGCTGAAGCGCAGCTGGGTCATGCAGCAAGACAATGATCCAAAACACACAATCAAGTCTACATGAAAATTGCTAAAAAGCAACAAATTGGAAGTTTTGGAATGGCCTAGTCAAAGTCCAGACCTAATCCCAATTGAGATGTTGTGGCAGGACTTGAAACGAGCAGTTCATGCTTGAAAACCCACACGTCACTGAGTTAAAGCAGTTCTGCATGGAAGAGTGGGCCAAAATTCCTCCACAGCGACGTGAGAGACTGATCAACAACTACAGGAAGCATTTGGTTGGAGTCATTGCAGCTAAAGGTGGCACAACCAGTTATTGAGTGTAAGGGGGCAATTACTTTTTCACACAGGGGAATTGGGTGTTGCATAACTTTGTTTATGAAATAAATATGTAATTGTTGTGTTATTTGTTCACTTATGTTCCCTTTATCTAATATTAGGTTTTGGTTGAAGATCTGATAACATTCAGTATCACAAATATGCAAAAGTAAAGAAAATTACAAAGGGGGCAAATACTTTTTCATAGCACTGTATGTGTGCAATTCGGTAACACTTTATAATAACTCCACGTAATAAAACATTTATATTTTATTAATAAATTGTTAATTCATCATTTATGAATCATTAATTGTAAATGTTAGTAACCTTATTCACACATTTACAGTATAAACAACTTTTAAAGTATTTAATAATGATTCAAAAGTTCATTCATAAGATGTTTAAAATAGGTCCTTATAAAAAATTTCTAATCATTAGTCAATCATTAGTCAAGTAATTGTGTGTAGCCTCATCTAAAGTGTGGGCTATTTATACTAAATACTTTATAAATGTTTTAAGTGACCAGTGTAATTTCTCACAAAAAGATGGACATGCCATTGGTAAACATTCCAGCAATACCTGATGCTCCTAGAACATAACAATGGTTAAACAATAAGCACACAATACAGAGGATGTTTAAGAAAATATATTGAACATTTTATTCCAAAACAGTCACACTGTTGTAATAGTGTGATGTGTAACTTCAGACATATGCTGAGTAAAATAGCGATTTTAGTCAGAAAACGCTAACATAAACACTCCTTAGAGCAGTGTAATCTCGGTTAACCCAGAACCAAAATATTGCTTAATTTGGTCAGCTACGTGATTAAGTTCAGGGTCCATAAGTGAAATCATAGTTTACCAAATATATATATATATATATATATATATATATTTGGTAATTTAGCAGACGCTCTTATCCAGAGCGACTTACAGTTAGTGAGTTACTTCACACTAGAAGAAGATAAGCTAAACTAAAGCTACCCTTAAGAAAAATATAGTTTACTTAACTGAAGCTACTTTTTATTACACTACATCCTAGCTACTTCGGGAAAAATTCAGTGGAGGTTTCTAAGGGGACGGCTCATAATAATGACTGGAACGGAGTAAACGGAATGGCATCAAACACATGGAATTTTTTGCAAAAAAAAAGTAGTGTGTAGGTCCAGTAGTTAGTGACCCCGCTGCATGGCAAAAAAGGAATTAACTACTGAAAACACTACCTTGATTTGAATTTGGTTAAACTACCACCAAGCTTCTGCAAAATGTAGTTTAATTGCTAGTTGAACAACATGTAGTTCTCTATTTCCCAACACTGGTTGGGAGTTGGCGTCTCCACCTTCGCAAAAGGAAACTCTGTCAAATTGTAGTATCCCGTCCTCCCAGGCTGTTGGCCTGGTGTAGGATCAGAAAGGGTCAAAGTAGTGAAATGGGGTGGTGGGTTTTATTTATTTTATTTTATTTTATTTAATAAGTGAATGGTTAGTTGGCAGGGTAATTGTTTTTTCTTTTCTTTATTTATTTGTTGCTTTTCTATCACAAAGTGTAATAGATTTACACTCCAGTCCAGTTGGTGGCGGTAATGCATTTTTTTTAAACACAGTAGAAGAAGAATAACTTCTATAATAATAATAATATGCCATTTAGCAGACGCTTTTATCCAAAGCGACTTACAGTCATGCGTGCATACATGTTTTTGTGTATGGGTGGTCCCAGGATCGAACCCACTACCCTGCCGTTGCAAGCGCCGTGCTCTACCAGCTGAGCTACAGAGGACCATTACTACTACTCCTCCTCCTCCAGACCAGCCATTATTCTGTTTATGCACAGAATCAGTCCACAAGACATTAAGAGCAGTCCATAAACTGCTTACCAGGTAAGGAAACTATCCCATTATGTTTAAAGTTAATACCTTTAAAGGCCCATTAAAGGTGCTGCCAAACAAAGCCATGTGTGAAAATAGTCTGCGGTTAAAAGACTGAAGCACTGGAAGCATTTACATTTTATACATGTAAACATTTCTACCAGCTGTTGTGTGTAGGCTACATCTTCCTGTTTCATGATTAGTTCGCGTTCGCGAGGTTCACAACATTACCATGACTATTTTGAGACATTAAGGAGCATAAGGTACGGCTGGATTGTCTACAAATGGCACGTCCATCTTTTTGTGGGAAATTACACTGGTCACTCAAAGCATTTATGAAGTATAAATAGCCCACACTTTAGATGAGGCCATGCAACAAGACTTAATGATTAGTAAATTGTTTATAAGGACCTATATTAAACATGTTATGAATGGAGTAATGATCAATAAATGATGAATAAACGATTTACTATTTACATTATAAATACTTTATTACATCGAGTTATTATAAAGTGCTACGTGCAATTCTCATATCCATAAAACCATACGACCATATCCGTAAAATATCACATTTTGGAGAGAATAGAAAATTCTGGGCATGCGCAGACCCTGTGCATAAAGAAAATACACATAATTGTGATCTATCTGTAGTGCATTCAATATTACATCAATAATGCATTCAGTATTCTACAATTCTGTAATATTTCACCAAAGACCAAACAACAGAAGTTATATCGTCTTCAAGCCTACTCACCTTTATGAGAGTAAGCCAAGCACTGTAGACAGGTTCATGTTTCTCCTCTCACACCCCAGACATAACACCTGAATAACCTCCACCACCTTTTATATTGTAACCATACCTCCTCCCCCCCTCCCCCCCTCTTGTTAGTGCTATTGTCTACCAGTGTCCTATTCATCAGGGCATACCGTAGCAAAATGTTTTGCAACGATAAACAAACATTTTTGTTTCCTATTAGACAAGTGCAGGTAGTTCCTCCCTGTTTCAGTCTGTTTTCTTCCGTTTGGTGCCTAATGAAAATGCCCCTGGGTCTGAGATGGTTATGTGACAGGCACAAAACTGAGACTGACCTAGTACATCACAAAGACAGCCATATTCTCTTGTATTATCCCTCCCTGTCCTTCTTAGGGACTATTTGTGATTATTTGTGTTCTGGCATTCATTGTCTGCTGTTAGTGAGGAGGAAAATAGATTCTTTAGGGAGGTGGAACTAAATACGTCTTCTGGGGACAGAAGAGTCTCCAGGCTTGTTGGTTATTGTGTTGTTTGGTTGGATGTATGAGTGTCAGTGAGAGAGAGGAGGGGAAAAGGACAGTGGCATTATTGGATTAATTAATTGGTGTTCTTTATCACGTTTGCACACCCCTAATTTTGATCCAAGATGGAGGTTGAGTTGTCACAAATCTGAAAGAGGTGGAGAGTGACCACAATAACTATTTGTATTGCCTTCTCAATCTTCCACATCCTGTCTTTTAGTCCCTCCTTCGCTCAATCCATTCCACCCTCTGTATTTTCTTCCTTCTTTTCATCCTTTCTTAGATTGCCTATGATCTGAAAG